CATGCACCCCTATGTTCAGAGCAGTGCAATTTACAACAGCTACAATTTGGAAACAACCTAAGTGCTCATCAGCAGAGGAGTGGATTAGAAAACTGTTATACATCAACACAATGGAATACTAGGCTGCTGTAAAAACCAAAGAACTCTTATAATTTGCAACAGCATGGATGAACCTGGAGAGCATTATGCTAAACAAAATAAACCAGTCAGAGAAGGATAAGTATCACATGATCTCACTCATTTGTGGAATATAATGCACAACATAAACTGATGAACAAAAATAGATCCAGAGACATAGAAGCATTGATCAGACCATCAAACCTCAGAGGGAAAGCAGGGGAGGGTTGGGGAGAGAGGTAAGAGATCAACCAAAGGACTTGTATGCATGCATATAAGTATAACCAATGAACACAGACAGTAGGCGGGTTAGGGCATGTGCTGGGGGTTGGAGGTGGCCAGGGAGAGGTCAATGGGGGGAAAAAGAGACTTATGTAACACTTTAAACAATAAAAATTAAAGAAAACAAAAAGGAATAGAAATTAAGGATAGACTGAGTTCTAACAGTTATGTGGGGGGGGGTGGTAAAAAGCATAACCCACAAGGTCAGTATTTTTTAGAAATACATTTTTAAGTAAACATACAAAGTAGCATTCTCTATATTTATTTTATCTTTGAAATCTTAAAAATCCTGGGACAAAATGTGGACTTATTTTGTTAATCAAATGAAGACTAAAGTTTAAAGTATTTTCATTTATTGTAAGAGTATGTGTAGAACATTATGAATAAGGTAAAATAATATGTGCTCATATATTATTTTCTCTAAAGGTTATAATAAATGTATAAAAATAATATATCTGTAATTATATCTATTAAAAATCAAGTGAATTGATCTAAAACCCATTGTAACAGGTCAAATTATCTTAATGTACAAAAACAAAGGCAATGACCTAAGTAATCTGCAACTACCGTGCAAGTGAAGATCATAGACAAAAGTGTATGAAATTCATCAATGAAATCTCTCACCAATAATGATTTACATCCCCCCAGTCTAATCACTATGTACAGATGTCATATGATCCAAAGATAGTTTCTGCTGGTGGATTGATCTGCAACTTTAGCTGACAGAAATAAACACCAGCATCAAATCAGAGCCCTCCTTTTGCAAAACATCTCAACAATATGAATGAATATA